ATAAACGACGTCTCGTCGAACATCACCGAACGAGTCTCGGGTCTGAAATCCTCGATTCGACCTCCGCGTTCTTCCTCGAGAAACGAAGCGCGATCAATTAAAACACTGGAATAGCTATTTACACAAAGAACCCTTCGATCCTCTCACGGAAATTTCACGGGAAACCTGACGCTTCGCTGATCGACGAGCGCGAAGATTCTCCGATCGTTTCGCGATGGCTGGCGAGTAGATCGAAACGATTCATCGACGGTCTTCGCGAAAAATCGTTGAGAGATCGTGTTCCCGCGAAATTGGAAATTGAACCACTCGTTGGACAAACCGATTGGCTGAAAATAAACAACGGAGAAGGACGCGACGGTTTTATATTTTGAATGTTTCTCGTCAAATGCGACGTTAAATGACGTTTGCAGAATGTATTTTACTTTAAAATGGTGTACCTTTGAAGTGATTTTTAATGTTATTGGAACGTCCGCTTGGGCAAAAGAGTTTTTATTATTTTGCGGTATAATGACGAGTCATAATGAGATTTACTTGAAATATAACGAGTTCAGAGCCGATGAAGAGATTTAATGGTGAAATTTTAGGGAAATTCCGAAAGTGGTGTTAATTGGTTTGACTAACGAGCGATTTAATTATCCGATGATTTTTCGTCGATGTTTAACCTACAGCCATCGTTCAATCGAATTCATCTTCGCGCTCGTGGTTTCCATAATTCGTTAAAAACCCGATTAAAACAGCGACGCGCGTTTCCATGAGCACATTTAAAAGCGACTCGCAGAATTTCGCGTTTCTCGTTGATTCTGTGCCATCTAAAACTTCGACAGAACTAGAAACGATGCCCGAGTACGGCAGGAATTAAAAGTGGAATATTATTAATACAATAATAACGGTAATAACACTTAACCCTGGAACCACCGGACAGATCAAAACAATTCCCGATTCCCTCTGTTCGGAATTATCGAAAAAAACGTAAATGCTTCGAGAAATCGTTAAAGGAACTGATTTAGCAACACGCAAACTGAAATCGTGGATCGATTCGAGTCTCGATAGATCCACTTTTGGAGTTTCCACAGAGGAATTTCGAAAATCGATTTGACTGGCCGGTGGTTCCAGCGTTAACAATCGCCGCGAGCAACACCGGATTAATCGTTAAATTAACGTTCGCGTATCGCGGTTCGATAAAAGAGGGAAGGACGCGAGTAAAAGGTGTGGGAGTACCTGTTCTTCGTCTTTGAAATCGATCGCAAGGAAGGGAAACGAGAAGAACCGAGCTTCGAGCTTGATCTGAAGCTTGATCGCTCGTAGATTGTCAGAATGATTCTCCGGCGACAGTGAACGCGATTTCCTTGCGAACAAATGTGACCGAGGATCGAAATTCTCTATACAGTCGACGATCGTCGGATCGCTAGCTGAGCGATTTCCTCTTCGATCAACTCCTCCCTGGATCAATCGAATACGGGACAAGGAAACTTCTGCTGGACGTTCGATTCCGGCGGGCGTTCTCTGGCAGAGACGCCATCTTGGAAGCTAAGCGATTGCGAATCGAATAAATATATTACTTTTATTAACGGATCTCACGTGGAACTGACTTGTCGAGTCTTCAGCGTCTCCTTCCCTTCGATTGAACTACTTCGAATTACATCGAACTCTCGAGAATGACGCCCGTTTTGCAACTGAATCTCACGAGCAAAGCGAAGGTTCGATTCAAGGAAGATTATAGGTAACATCTAACGTTCTACAAGTGAAATTTCGAAAACGGAATCGATTGCTTTCAGCCCACCCGGTAGGAGCACTGCGGCAACAGCGAAGCTGTTTGAAATTCTTGAAACGGGTCGGTTCAAGAAGGGAGGACTCCGATAAGACCGGGAATCGAAAGTAGTTCAGCGACTGTATCAGGCCGAGGGAAAGAAAAGGAACGCCGAAGATTCGTCGCGACGATAAAGCAGTCCGCGAGCGAAAAGACGAAGAAGAAACAGGCGAAAAAGAAAGGAACGATTGAGGAAACGCGCTGGGAATCTCGTGGACGTGCGACAGACTTTTGATTCGGCCCGTTAGGGTATCGGGCGGCGCGGCTGAAGAAAGATAATCGGGGAAACAGCGTTCCTCCGCGGCAATGTCTTCGCGCTTTAGCTGCCCCATGCCGCTACTAATTGACTAGCATCGTGAATCACTCTCGGTTTCAACTCGCTCGCTCGTTTCGCCTTCGACTCTCTTTGGTACCAAACTTCTCGCGCTGCTCCCTCGCCTCCAGGAGGGACAGAGGGCGATCCTCACTCGCACGGAACGCGGAGGACCATCGGAGGAACGAACGCTCCGGGAATCCTCGCGTTTTCCGCTGGCCCCTCTGCCGGCAGTGAAACGTAAGGCACGACGAAAGTAAGGGGATCGTCGCGGCTCGCCCGCCATCTTGTCGAACATGACGGAAGCTACATCGAAAAGTTGCTTTCGGGCGAGAGCCGTGTCACAACGTTTCGCCATCATTGCAGTTGTTCAGCTGACCAATTAAGAACTACTGATAATTACTGATCCGGAACATGAACTAGTATATAAAGACAGTCTTTCTAGGCATACACCAGTGTTACTGTCTTTAATCCCCGATCAAGCCAACTCCAATGATGGCGGAACCTTAGGAACAATTTCCTTTTGGATACGACTCTCACCCGTAAGTCACTTTTGAATATAATATTCCAGGCCGTGAAAGCGTTAAAGCTACTACGACGAAAGCTGTTCTGCTTCGATGTAGGTTATCTCTTTTGCCGAAAGGAATTTTCAGATTTTAAAAATTTTCTATGGAAACTTAGGAAACTGAATTGCAGATTTGATGCACTGCTTGCGAACGAACCGCTGGAGATGTTTCCGATTGGAATGCGAGGATTTTTTGGAAATACTGTCGCTCTTTGGTACGAGTAATTTGAGAGACGTCATTCTCAACGATCAAACGAAGTCTGAAGGATCAAGTGATCCTTCGAGATGGCAGAGAGATTTTTAAAAACTAAGGAATTCATTTTCATTTCTGATTTGGGAAACTAAGAAACGCTGATTTTGCTGTGCGCGTATCACGAAAGTAGATGCCATAGATCTTCCGAAGAGGAGGGTCTCTCGAATGCGAAAGATTCGTACCAAAAAGCGTCGGTGTTTTGCAAAAATCACTGTTGTCAAAATTGTCGGCGTTTGGCGAGCGGAAAAGACGCGACGGTCCGGAAATCGGTCGCCGGCGCTGGAATCGAAAGGAAAGCACTGTTGTGTCCGCGTTCGAGGATCGAACGACGAAAATACTATTATAAAAGGTGATCCGCGATCGGGTGCCGAATCGATTTTCGCCGATTAATTGGGTCGTAACATAAACACCCCTTAAATCATTCTTTTACGCTACTCAATCCACGAAACAATAGAGCTATTCGTATAAATAATTTAAATAAACGATAAGTCTTAACGAGTCGTAATGAAATTCTTAGGATTAGAACACGATCGTACTTATCAAACTTAATTATTTTACCCGAACAATCATGTTACTACCCAACACAGCGGAGTCTCTCGAAAATATCCGAAAACGATCGTCGTGCAACAATCATTGCTAACTGCCGCTAAACGAGACTCCGCTGTACTAAAATTTGCCGCGAGACGCTCGGCTCCGATCCGCGGCCCGTAGGAAAGCTGAGGACAAGAGAAAGAAGACGGAATTCGCCGAGCGGACTCGAGGAGATCGACGAGAAATCGGCGTGGTCGGTAACGGCCGACCAACGGAAAAGGACTATCAATAAATAGAATATGAGCTTCGCGACGACGTGGCGCTAGGAGGTCGCGGCGTTCAACAGGAATCGCAAATAAGTTAAACAACGCACGCGGGACAGGGAAAATGGCGAGCGCGACACGCGCGCGGCCATCTTATAAACACACACACTCTCTCTATCTTTCTCTCGTCACGCGAATCGCTCCTCGAAACGCTCCGCGGGAATCAGCTCCTTCGCAGTGTTCTCGTCTCGTAAATCATCAAACGTTTACAATCTTCGAATAATCTTAAACAACGTATCTTCAAACCCGTTCGCGAAGGCAGTTCGAAACGCGGTCCGATCTACAAGAGAGTAATAAAAAAGTACGCTCGCAGCACGATCGAGAAGGGTACCCCGGAACCAAAAGCTGTGAATTAGGCCGCAGTGTTTCCGAACCACCCTCGTTTCGAAAAGAATCGGTCGGATCCGTCGGAGATCCGGCCAACCCGCGGAGCGTTCGCTTCGAGATAATTCTCCTTCGCCCTGCAGACGCAGCGCCGCGATCGTTTCAGACTAGATCGCTGGGATTCGACACCCGGATCGCGTTCCACACTCGCTCTTCGTTCGCAGGCACACAGAGAAACACACAGGCCCGCGTCCGTCATCATCTCCGACTATGTACAACGTTATTTACAGCGTTAGTGGTATACAGGTTAGACCGATCGCCGAGAGGATCCAAAGCGACGACGACGATCACGCTGGTCCAGGTGGTGTCCCGAACCGTCCTGAAGCTGCCGAAGACGTCACCGAGTTATCCTCCGTCCGCTTCATCCTCTATCCGACGCGCAACGCTGGAACCACTGGACACACCCTATCAGCCGTTCTTCGAAAGGTACACACGCTTCTCCGAGAAAATTCGAAAGCAATTCACTAACGTGTACAATAAGAAAATACGCGGGGCGACTCGGTTGCTCGGTGGTTCCAGCATCAGCGATCGAAAGGCTGCCCTTGTCTTCGCTCTTCGAGACGTCTCCAAGTTATCCTCTGTACGCTAACACTGGAACCTCTGGACAATCCATCGGCCGTTCTTGGAAAGGTACACACGTTCCCCCGAGAAAATTCGAAAGCAATTTACTAACATGTACAATAAGAAAATACGTATCAGGCGATCGGGTAGCTCAGTCGGTTCCAGCGCGAGCGGTCCCTAAAAGGCTGGCCCAGCCTCGGCTCTTCGAGACGTCGGTTCGACGCGATTCTTTGGTTTCCTCTGCACCGCGGCCAGGCGAGCTGCTGCCCGCCGTCTTATCGTTCGCCGCGGGACTGCCCAGAGGTATATGTCTCGAATCTTTGGTTTTCTCACCGGGAAAAGTAGAGAATGCCATGGATGGAACGGCCCTCTTCCCGCCTCGGGTCTTAATCAACCTAGCTCTCCTTCGTTCCGCTTCTTGCCAGGCGACCGTCTTGGAGGATCCCCTGGCATCGGGGCGATCTGATCGATCCTCCGCGGTGTGTTTTTGCGATTCCGCGTCGGGAACGGATTGAATTATTCCCGTGCTGGAGCGAACGACCCGGGGACCCGCGGATTTCCATATTCTCCGGCGTTACGGGTTTCTTGTTTGCCAAGGGCTGCGACGGCCACTCGGAAGAATTCGTCGGATGATCATCCTCCCCCGGGGATTGGACGTTCCGGTGGTCCGGTCGCGTCGGATCGATCGTCCTCGTTCGCCGCGGCGGAAAAGAAGGAACACGCCTCCGCCGGTTTCGTCGGGGCGTTCGATCGTGCTCTTCTGTGTTGTTTCTTTTGCTGCTTTTGGGAACATTTTTCGTTCGTTCACCGGGCCTCGCATGATTTCTCTTTGTTCCTCGTAGCTCGCCGGTGTTCAGCTTCGCGTTACGTCCGCCGCGGCTGGCCGTACGCGAAGCTGACCTCACGTCATGGGTAGTCCGGGTGCATCAGGTTGTACATGATCGCGAAGATCGTGCAGGCCGCGTACACGCCGAGCGCCACCCACCAGAGCAGCTGCTCGTGGAGACGCTGCTCGAAGTTCTTCAGCACCAGCAGACCGATCGTCAGGCCTGCCAACGCGCCGGTCAGATGCGCCACGTACGAGACCGGCGGGCCCATTTGCTCTGCCGCGTACCTGTCGTAGATGGCGAATCCAACGTCCGCGCTCGCTGCAACCAGGGAAATTGCTTCTTTCAACGTCGAGCATCAACATGGTTTCTCGTGTGTACCTTTTAGTGTTGGCGTTTGGAAGTGAATTGTGCGTGCAGTATTGAGGACGTTGCGAATGAGTGTAGTTTGAATGTAAAAAATACGAGAGGAAAATATAGACGACGTGGGGAATAGATCTGGCACTACAGAAGTTGATTCTTAACACTAGAACTACCAGTCAAAATGACTGGTTTCAGTTTTTCTGTTTCGCAATTATTGATATCTTCAAAGAATATTCGAAATTATTTTGAAAATAGTTTCACTCGAATACTATAATGAATGTCTGAAGAAACCGGAAATAATATATTGTTACAATATTCATAGCGATTACATTTCTATGGTATCAAATGCTCGGTAGTTCTAGTGTTAACACATTGAGCGCCGGCAATAATGCGGATTTCTGGATTTCCATTTCTGGATAGGACGAATATGCAATTAAAATGTACTATTTTACAAAAATGTTTTGAATATTTTTTCTGACTACTCACTGATCAGATACAAGCGAATGAAGCCAAAAAAATAACTGGTTTCGATTTTGTTGTTTAGTAATTATTGATATCTTCGAAGCATCGAACATTCGAAATGATTTTGAAAATAAATAGCTTCATTCGAGTACTATAATGTCTGAAGAAACTGAAAATAATCTATCGTTACAATTTTTATAATTGCATATTAATCGTATTAAATGTTCGGTAGTTCTAGTGTTAACTACAGGAAATGTCCAAAATTCAATTGGGGAAAAATTCTGAAACTGGGAAAAGAATTGTAAGTTAAAATTTCAGGAAGTGTCTTTTGATACCTTCGGTAATAGTGTTAATTAAATATGCTATTCGTCGGTACGGTTACAATTTTTATAATTGCATATTAATCGTATTAAATGCTCGGTAGTTCTAGTGTCAAGTCGTCGGCGCTCAATGTGGTAAAAGGTCAAAGATTAGTGTGATTCTATTTGTTTTGAACTTTAGCATTAGTGACATGTTTGGAGAAGCAGTGAATTGCATAGATAAGTAACGAAAACGTTCTAAAAGAGCCAAACGAAAACGAAGACCAGAAGTGATACAAAGAAACAAGAAACGAGAAACATGAAACAAATATTTCACCGTATTCTTCCGTATCACTCGAGGCGCGTCTGATAGACTCGAAAATCCGGTGACCGGTTATGAATTGAAACGACCGTGGATACGATCGTCGAATATCTCACCTATCACGAAGATGCCTATTAACCGAACGATGCCGAACTCCATGTTGTTGTAGTTGAGGAGGACGTTGGCGAGATGAGCCGCGAGTAGGGCGTAAACGCCCCCGCTGGCGCCAACGAGGTAGACGTCCGTGTCGAACACCGAAGTGCCCAGGGAGCCTGTAAACGTAACAAGAAAACCCATTGTACATATCGTATACTCGCGGAATATGCGCTCGGGTTACGGTAATACCGTACTCTCGGTCTACACGCTCGCTGCGCGGTGTTTGCGCGCCCGCCTCTCCTTCCCCGGGGATGCTGCGCGCAGCGTGTTCGCGATTTGATCGGATCAAATTTTCGTCCGGCCAGAAACAAACGAGAAAACTCTTCTCCCCGTCGCCCCCCCAGACCCCCGTCCTTTAAACACACCCACGCGACGGTTGCCTTTTAGTTTTACGATCGACAAACGGATACTCGGTGTTTCCGGAAGAAAATCGTTGACTCCGGCTGAAGCGGAAGGCGGAGAGTTCGGTTATTCGAATAGGAGCACTTATTATTTAGTACGATTCGCTAGGATTCTTTAACCTCTTAGCCTATGATTTCTTTCTCAACTCTGATCGATACTTTGTCATGAATAATTTATTAGAAAAAGAGAAAAATTCCAAGCATATGTCACGCCTATATTTCCTTTTAAGTATAACGATTGATTACAGAGGAATAATGTTCATTTTGAACTCGAATGAACTGAGCAATATATATATTTGCTGAATTATGTTGAAAATCTTCACCACGAGTCTCACTCGTTGTTGGAGGACAAGGGGTTAAGTGCATCCTCGATTGCTTTGTATTTATACGAATTGATCTTGTAGAGATAAGTGATGCGCTTTGGAAATAAACGGCTGATTTTGGAGAGGAAAGGTGATTTATTTAACGATACGATTAGTATTTAATCTAGGGATCGATACGAAAGCATTTTGTGCCAGGAATGAATGATTCGAGGCTACAAATATTAAAATATTTAACCTTTTGCACTCAAGTTTTTCACTGGAAATATTTAACATTTTTCGACTAGATACAGACATCGTTTGAAACTAATTCGATAATTCACAGATAAATTAAGCGACGAAGCTATTTTATTTAAATACGTCCTATAATACAACGTTTAATTTATAATACTTAATATTCAACTTTATAGGTTTGCTGTGTCAAATCAAGCGGCGACAGAGTCACCTCTCGAGTACAAAGGGTTGATCAATCCAATATACATAAATTTCACCAAGTCTTATTTATCTGTTATATATGGTTCTAATCACTCTAGCAAATGAATTGGCTTTTGTACCATCAGTTGCTAGAAACCTGGCACTCGTGACGTCATAGGGCGGAGACAGTCGCTTCGAGAACTCCAATCGGAAACGGCTCTCCCCACTCTTCGTTTTCACTTCGAATCTGACCACTCAGACGAAAGTGCCAGGTTCCCTGCAACGGTACCTCGTATTTCAAATGTAATTAACGAAAACAATTGTCGGTGTTGTATGCACGTTTCAAGCAACGCGAAGTGATCGTAAAAAATGCAGGAAGGAAATTATTCGCAAAGAGTTAATCTATTTTCGCGAAACCACTAGTTATCGGCCGTTTCAGTGGTAGACGGACGTCTAACGGCCGACAAGTGGGAATTTGACCGATTGCCCGGGCAACCCCTGATCCCTGGCACGGGTCAACAAATTACAGCGCCGATACATGGGGTCAGTGTTGATTACGGTTTCACTGTCCCGTCATCGGCTACTTTATTTCCATTACTCCGCTCGCTGGCAAACCCACCGGCCCTCTCCTTGCAATTTATTCTACTCGGCAACGCTAATCAAGCCAACATTTCTGTTTACTCGCGTTCTCGCTCGGGAAACATCGGGAACCGCTGAAAAACCGTGCTACTTTCTCGAGCAGTTGACTTTTGGTGTCTACCCTTTACACGGACTAGCTTTGACTTTGAGAAATGAAGTATGAATGGTAATATCAATGACAATGATCGAATAGAAACAATGATAAAATACTGACACAAACTACCGAGTAGTTGAACTGATTTTTTGAAAATTATATAGAAACTCTATTGAAACTTTAATTGATTTCCGATTCAGTTTGTATATTGTTAAATCAATTTCTGTAACTTCCCAGAGAGAAATCTATCTCTTGAATAATTATTAAAATAAAATATAATAATAAAATAAAATGTTGACACTAAATCTACCGAGCAGTTGAACTTTTCGAAAATTATACAGAAACTCTATTGAAACTTTAATTGATTTACGATTCAGTTTGTATATTGTTAAATCAATTCCTCGAGTAACTTCCCAGAGAAACATATTTTGAATAATTGCAAAAAGGCGAAATTCAGTAGAAAACGAACGGAAGTTTCCAGTTGTGTTTAAATACAGAGTGAACGTCGACGATCGACAAGTAATATTTCATTTACGCAACATTTCGACTTGCCGAGTTCACTTCGAAATTTCCATCGGGGTTCCGACACGTTGTTATCAGCGGAGGGGCGTTAATCTGATCCTTTCTCGCGGAACAATGCAGAAATCTTCGTTTCGCGTTTTTGCGTGCCGGGAGACGCCGCGGAACGCAACTTCCTCGGCGGAACGGCGGAATGAAACAGGAAATGGAAGGAGATGGCTGATAAAGAGAGAGAAATGACGCCGGTGACGTGAAATACGAGGTAATTTTCGATCCAGCCTCGGGAACACGGTAATATAAGGACTGTTCGAACCGTTGGTCAAGAAACGGTGGAATTAGTCTTGCTAACCGCGTGTGTCCCGTGTGTTCCGGCTGCATTAGAGGCGACCGGTAATCAGCGAATGACCTGCATCGTTTCGAAAGCATTATAGGGAAAGTGTACGCGCGCACGCGCGTGCGACCGAGAACCTCGTAAATTATCCGCATAGAGTTTCCTCCGACCGGAAATCGGATATGCGTTTCTGCATCGGGCAAGGAAACGCATTAGCTTGAGATCGAACCGGCCAGCGGCCGTAATTAATCCGAAAACAGAACCGGCGTCTCGCCGGAATCGATAATTTACGGATCATAGCGTGTATCGCTTAGTTTCTTATAGTCCGAAGATCTATGGTACACGTTTTACCGCCTGTAATCGGCTGATTACCTCCAGTGGAATTGGGTTGAGTGCTGCTCGATCGGTTATTAATTGTGGATAACAGTAACGAACGGTTAGTTTGTTGTGCAATTGTGACGCGGAATAATAAATGATCGATTAACGGGAGTTGATGTGTGTGATTGGCGAAATTAGATGCTAGGTGATTCTAGCTTGGAGCGTTTGATGCAGTTGAATCTTCACTTTAAATCTGCGGAATTTCGAATTGATCCTGAATCTACATTCTAAATTCACGAGATCTCAAATTAAGGTTCGAAGTTCATGCAATTCTTCATTTACAGAATCTCGAATGTACAATATTTTAACCTTGCGGACGAAGACTCTTTAACCCTTAGCACTCCATATGATTTTGTAATCTACCAACAATTCCAAGCGGTTTTTATAGTATTTCTAGCACAAATGAAAAATGTTATAACATCTCTTAGATTTCTTTATTTTCCTTCTTAATACAAAATTTGGATGTATAGAAGATCCAGTAATCTTAGGGTAGTTCTAAATTTATTCATTATAATATTTAACAGTATAAATGATGTCATAGTGGAGCCTACAGAGTGCAAAGGGTTAAAGTAGACAAAGCTTGGAACATTTGAACTTCTAACAAATCCTATAAAATTAAACCGCGAGATGAAACGTTCAGATGTGGAAGACTAAGTCGCAGGCAAACGATCTAATCAGTCGAACAGCAAGGGATCAGTACGTAGTTTTCTTCTGTCTATTAATTAAGCGATTGATATATAATTTACCTTCATATGTTAACCCTTTGCGGACGAAGACTCTTTAAAGTACACAAAGCTTGGAACATTCGAAGCTAAATTACACATCGAATGCTTAAACAACAATGAAAAGGGAACTATACACTGATCACTTGCTATTCAAGTAATCGAGTCATTCGTCTGCACCTTAGTATTCCAAATATGAACATTTCATGTGATCGAGATATTAGCATTCGTCCGCAAAGGATTAAACGCACGAAATCTCACGTACGCAGAACCTCAAACGTGCAAGATTTCAAATTTAGATCACGAATCTAAATTCTAAATTCACGAGACTTCAATTAATGACACTTTTCATTCACAGAACCTCAAATCTACAAAATCTCACTTCGAACTTCGAATGTCCAGCACTTGAAACTTGGAGAATTTATATTCAAGAGACCGGTATAGTCGAATTTCAGTGGTCTGCTTCGACAACGTGTTAACGATTAAAGTGCGATTCCGATGAACGAGATCACGGTCATTAACGCGTAATCGGGTTACATTTCACGGACTCCGGTTCCCCGATTCGGTCGGCGTCGTCGCTGTAACTTCGGTTTAAAATATTAGCGAAGTTCGGTCAAGTGTTTCACGAACACCGGCCGGATAACTCTGTTAACACGAAGTTCCCGTAATAAAGACAATGAGCACCGGTCTCTGACGTCCGCCGGACCCGGCCGTCCATTCAAAAATCATCTGCTCCTCTCGGACCAGTAATTCTAACCGCCTGTCGGTGGATCGATTAATTTTCTGCTGTATTAACGAACGCCCGGCCGAAGGAGAAACTTAATATCGACGTTATTCCTGAGGGTTCAGTCAAATTTCAGCGTCGACGTCTTGAAACCAGTTCGATTTAACATTTAACACTGTTAACTGAATATTCCATGGGACGAGACGAATAAACACTTCAACAGAAAAATATTTGCGTTTTATTTTACCCTTGTATGCACTCCTCTTTAATCACTTTTTGACTGTAGCTGGGAACACTAGGAAAATGATTTTCCTTCGTCAAAAATAGGAGATATTTTACGTCACATTATTGTATATCATAGCTTTCGAGATAATATTTTATTTAACCTTATACAATATTATGCTACTTAATTAATATATATATATATTATTAATATATATATATATTGAAATTATAGGAGATATAGACGACATTTGTTTCAACTAACTTAACTAATCTATTCACAAAATAAGAACAATGGTATTTTATTTCCACGTTTCACGTATCGACAGATTACTCAAGACTTAATGTTAAA